AATTCGTAGCGTTTTTTAATGAAAGAATGTTATTTATTTCACATGAGCATTAAAAAATACATTAATGAAAGTACTTCCCATCACTTGTAAAACGCTACGAATTAATTCCAACACCTAATAAAATATTTTGTGAATGTTTTTTTATTTCAAATGTTTTTATAAATTGTTTTTTAAATATTAATTAAAATGTATAAATATATTGGATCTAAATATTTGAAATATTTGAATATTTAAAATATTTGAAATATTTAAAAACAGTTCTTACGGAGATTGTAATGCAACGATTAAAGAGACAAGCCGCCCAGCATCCAAGAAGTCCAGTAATAGCAATCAGGATGAATATCACCAGGTCCTAACAGGCGCGATAATAAAATCCGTTCATTGTCGGCTAATAATAATCCTCCTAAGGACATTAGCACGAAACCCGACATCTGAAGGAAGAGAGAAACAATTAATAATCTTTCACAAGTTACACTGATTTGATGAACAGTTTACAATAATTATTAAAATGACACAAATCGATCCAATTCGCATTATAGCGAACGTTATTATTTTATATTATATCTAACATAACATTTCATATATTACTTCTTTACTTAAAAAACGCATGATATAAATCTTTATTAATTAAGAATAATATATTGACTGAAGATAGATTTAAATTAAAGTTGCGTCTGAAACAAATAGCTAAATAACTCACCAAGAAAATTATATTCGAGCAACAAACAAAAGCACGCGATATGCCTAATTTTCTAGTTCCCATTATTACGTTCAAAATGCTTGCTTCTTAATAACAATAAGCGATATGCAGATGACTTTTTGTCACATAAAGTTTCAACGATTGTATTCGGCGTACATAATAAACGCACAATTAAATCATTCGATGACGCAAGTTACACTATGTACAATATTACAACTAGATAGTTCGAGGTGAACCCGATCGCGTATGTTTACGGACTGAAAACCCCCCGTACGCGGTGGATGGACTTTACAACAGCATCGGGGGTCTGTAGGCGCGCTTGCGTGCCCTCATGCGCGACCGACCGGACGGAACCGGAAGGAAATAGAAAGGCGTGGATGGAAAAAGACCGGAGGGGGAACGAAAAATTTATACACATACACACACACGCACACACATACATGGACATTTGCATCGTCGATCGGTTCATGTACGATTCGAGTCGGCAAAGGTTCACGGTAAAGGGGGAACATTTAATGGCTGATAAGACCATTTCATGCTTTAGCACACATGTTAATTGTATTTAAATTCATAAATTATTATTTAACGTTTCTCTCTCTCAGCTAAATATTAACATTGTGTCATGTATTAAAGTTCCTTTATTCGAATTCTTTTATAAAAATATTTATTATAAATTACAAATATTAAATAATGTATAATTAGAAAGAAGTATTTTTAATTTATCAAGAAACGTTAGAATACTATTATAAAAATTTCGTTTCTCTTATTTGGATTAATTATACATACGTAAAGGATTAATCTGGAGATTCCATACTCATAGGATTTTTCCATCAAAAATTGTATTTTTACTGTGTAAATGAACTTGTAGGTTGAGCCCATATACAGCGTAGCTCAGTAAAAGGATATTTTATGCGCATTATTGTAAGTGTTCACGAAGCCTATCTCCTCTTCTCTACATTAATTCAGTCGCCACATCATGCACTTCCCGTTAAACGGGATAGGCGTGACCTAAACGTACGTAAAAATTCTGATTTAACACTTGTTTGTTAAGAAGTGAAATCACATATAATCAACCTATAATATATCTTGAGAAGTGAATTAAGAATATCTTACGAAGGATAAGGCAAATATATATGAAGAGTATGAAGGATTAATAATTGAAAATTTTTAACAAAATAAATATTTAATTTTGTCAATAAAAAATTTACATTAAAGTTATCATATTTAATAATTCTTAATAATTAAAAATTTATAAATCTAAAAATCAAGTGTACTTTTATGAGATCCACTCATGCATCCAATATTGGATGTTACTGTGTCATCTTGCTCTCGTTGAGACGTATCTTCGAACTCGGGTGGCAAATGTAAAACCTAAAAACAAACAAATAATATAAAAATTTATATGACACAATATACTAATTTGAGAAACAAAACAAAACATCAAAATCTACTAACTTCTATAAGAAACTTTTTACGGCGTAATTTAAATGCTAAATCTCTGTGTTGTGAATTGCCGTGTGACAAACCATTTAATGCACACAATTTCTTAATGTGCAACAGACCATGATATTCCTTATACAATGGATTAAGCGCTTTTGCAGATCCCGCAAACGATTCCAATCTAATTGCTATATCCGATACGTGCTCAATTCTTTCGATAGCGAAATTCTAGAAAATGTAAGCTGTAAAAAGATTGGTCGTTGTAAAGGGGATAATTTTTCGATACTTACGTTATTGAAATTATTAACTGGTATTGTTACTATGCCGACTGCATAGGAATTCCTTAAAAGTGCTCTGAAGCAATATAGAAATTTTAATAGATCACTATCAGAATCTTTCTCTGTGTCACTAAGCCATAATCTTGATCCCAGAGAATGAATTGCGATTCTTAAAATTTTCTTTGTTTTCTGTTCTGGTGTTTCAGAGAGAAAATATTGTCCATCGCGTAAAGTTTTTTCTACAGTACATAATAAATCAGTATATGCAGCGTTCTTAAATGTATGACTATTATTTTCATCTAGTGTCATTTCCTCATTAAATTCCCATTGTTTTATGTCAGCATGTTCTAAGAAATCCTTTTGCATCTGCTTTGTAAGATCATAATAATGACCGAATATTTGACCTCCCGTAGGAATTGAATCTACTACTTTCATCTTTTGATATCGCCAAGCTATTTTCATTGGTTCATCTTCATTATTTGTAGTTTTCGTATGTTCCTCTGAATTATCTATAACTGCGGGCAATCTTGATACAAGATGGGAAGGTTGGACATCTTGAGACGCAATCAGTACAGGTTGAGATACGACTATTCCCTCTGCCATAAAGTATTTCAATATAGTTTTAGCATAGAAGCCATACTTGTCCTCCTCTGAAAAGAAATATTTCTTTAAACATATACACAAATAAACGTTTCATTAACTTCTGCAGAATCCCTTCACACATTGTAATGTACATAAAATTTAGATATTATAAAGATATTATCTGTTGAAATTATTTAATTCTACATCATCTAAAATCTGATGTACAAATAATGTATATGTTGAAAAAATAGTCGAATTAAAAAATTATTTGTATGAATTATTTATTAAAGTGTGCATAAATTGAATTTAAAAAAGAAAATTTTTAACACGATTCCATAAAATCAAGTCTGAAGGAATTAAATACATACACTATCACTTATAATTATTTGAACGACAGATATTTTATATTTTACTCTAATTTTGAAAGTTAAATAAATATCTGTTTCTCTTTCTCCTATACTGTTGCTAACACAAATAATACTTTATTAGAATAATTGGCGCTATTTATGTTGTATATTAGTTGTAATTGTATATATTCTAAATTCAAATTATTAAGATAACGTTTATCGAACTATCTTTAACTATCCTTGAATCGATATTACTGAATATTTCTCATCGTTTTATCGTTCTATTACAATCTATTGTAATTATGGATTATTTTTGTTCATAATTATAATTTAAGGTTGTAGCAGAAAAATAAAATAGGAAATATTATAACAATATCAATTCAAGAATAGTCAGAGATGAAGTTTCGGTAACATTGTCTTAATAATTTAAATTTAGACTACAAATAGAAGTTTAGATTATTTAAACTTACAATTACAATCAACAAAAACAGCGATCATTTTGATACAATCATTTTAATCAAATATTATCTGTGTTAACAACAGTGAGACACACAACTTATTTAGCTTTTAAAATCAGAGTAAAGTACAAAATATTTGTTAAATAATTATAAGTGTATGTATGTATATGTGTAGTGTTATTAATATTTAATCTTTCAAAAGAAGAGAAGATATATCCTTTGGAGGCTGAATAATTATTGATTCATACCCTATTAAAAAATCAAAAGGTCATTCTGTGTATATAGTACATAAACTAGTAATAAAGAAGCATTAGCTTTAGATTTTTTTACACTCTTGCAAAAAAGATGTATGAGTAATTCTCCAAAACTAATTACGATATTTAACAAGTCTTGAATAATTCACCCATTAAAGAAACATAAGTATACAAATATACATGCCAATTAAAAATATCGAGCCAATAGGTAAACCTCCGCCAATTGAACTGTCTAAAGAAGGTATCCCTGTTGAAATAAGCAACTGTGAATTTCGTAACGAAGGTTTCGTGCCTGGTATTATCGGAAGTCTAGTTTTAAGTCTTGTTCCACCCAAAGCCATCGCTTTTTCCTTATAAAGTCATCCAGTAGATATCTGAAATATAATTTTAAAAAGTAAAATATTTGCAAGTAAATGTCACAGTAAATGACGTCTTCTTTGATATTTATTATATTAAAAATTTAGACTGATGACGAAATTATATGTTGTTAATAAGGATTTATTTCAGTAAAAATAATCATTACATCTTATAAATAAATTTTTAAGTATCTTTTCTCAGTGCACATTGGAAATATTTAATACACCATATTAAAATTTTTTCTACTCATTAAGCACATTTCAAAATAAATGTAATAATAAGTCTGAGATGAAATTTTTTTTATTTATCGATATACTTTATGATAAGAAACTTTGTAATATAATACGTCAAATTACATCAAACTTGTTTCACTTTTGAATCCGTAGAACTTATTTAATTTTGCATTTACATTGATCATCTTACTTCTGCTACTTTCAATAGATCGCTTTCTATTTCCACACAAGTGATACCGAGTTATGTATTTTATACTTAGATAATTACGTCATTACATGCTTATTCTTGCTTACTTTGATTACGATTATCGCATAACAACTGACAACATAGTTTACAACCTAACCTCACTTTTGATGTGAGTAATAAGATTCTGTAAAGCACGCAGTCTTGAGTTTGTGCAAATTGTAAAAACTTAGTTAAATCTCACTTGTGTCAAAAAACGAGTAAGTACATACATTTAATTGAGAATCATTTGGAATTATTTGGATTTTGATGTAAATGGAAAGCAATTAAATGTTTGTCTCATTTTGCTGCAAAACATTTACTTTAATTGAAATTTTTCAAAACAGTCTAAATTTTAATTCAGAGCATTCCAACATTATTTTACAATATGTTTTTATACATTTATAAGGACAAAATTTGACTCTGGCAAAAATTCGAGGGAGTAAATCGGAGTAAATCCGTCAATCAAAACGCGCAATACCGTAATTGAGCTTGTCACGTTTGCCACGTGCACAAGATTTTGATAGATTTCAAAGATCCTTGATCGACAGAAGTTTATGCTTCTTTCTCTGCGATACTCGATCTTTTCTAAAAACGATTACACTTGGTAATCTCAATCGAGTCGTACTTCACACCGGAAGAAAGCAACGAAAGTTCGAAAAACAATTAGTCGCATGCCGGTTCGGCTTTCTCTCCTCGCCAGTGTAGCACTCACTAATCGCAAGTTATAAACGTGGAAAATAGTCTGGAAAAGCCGTCCGCGAGTCTCTTCGAGTTCCTTATAACGTATATATATATACGTTTCGTTCTCGATAACAGAGAACGAAACAGCACAAATCAGCACGAATCTTTCGGAGCCGTTCTCGACGCGAATCTGCCCACCCAGCCCACCATGATCGATGCACCGGTAGTGGCACTCGTGATATCCATAGTAGTACCGATATTCCCCGAACGTTGACGCCACGTTGGACGAAGCCGATCGGAGGTCGACGGTTTCTGACGGTTTCTCGCGTCGCCACCGGAGCGCGGCTGCGTCGCGGCGGCAGTAATTACGGTTTCGCCGTTTGAACGGGATGCATGTCGTCCCGTTCTGTCCTACGCGCAGTTCAGTTAATGGTATCGTGATCGTGCGCTTGCTAGGTTGCGGTACGCCGATCCGATTAAGCGCCTGACGTTTCGTCGCCGGGTGCGATCGCGCGCGAGCATCCGTATGACAGAGAGACGAGGAATCGGAGAGAAACAGAGCGAAAGAGAGAGAAAGGTAAAGAAGAATCGTCTCTCGCGTCGCCGCGCCGCGCCGCGACAGAGCAGACAGGACGCGCGATCGTAATATCATATGCGTGCGCGCGCGCGCGGGCGCGCGTGCGTGAATGTATGCGCGAATCGAAGGAAAGTGAGGTTATGCAATTATTTAATACAATCGTACGCGCGTTCGATGCCGACGCTCGATAACATGTGATTCATCGCGACGGTCAAACCGGGTCGAGTCCCGGAGTGTCGGCGCAGTGAACGAACATCTGCGCGCCGCGCGCGGTCCAGTCGCGTTGCGCATCGAGTTGAAGTTGCGCGCGGATCGGACCCAACTCACCCAACGTCAGATCGTTCGCGCGTTCGAGAACCGTTTAATCGCAAAGCGTCTTCCGCGGACGTGCGTGTTTGCGGCGTTCCGAAACATTGAAAATCGAAGCGATCTCGCGATACCTTACCTTGAAGAAAGACGCGAGACTTTAAGTGCGAGGGGAAAGACACGCGGGAAAGAAGATTTTAAATTGTCCGAGAGAAAGACACAAATTTGTCACGTGCGCGCGCGCGCTCGCGAGTGAGTGAGTGAGTGAGTGGTGGACTCGGAGACTCCGGCGAATGCGCGCAAGAGGAACTCCGAGGAACTCGTGCCGAACGTTGAAAGCACTCTTCCCTTTCTCCCACCGTGGCTACCGACTCCTCGCGCCCCTCTCTCTCTCCTTGGCTCGCGCGCACGCCTTCCGTTCCCTCTCCGTTCCGTCGCCCCTCGATCCGCCGCGCCACGTCGCGCCATCGTCGCCGAGTATCGCCGACGCGTGTTCCCGTCTCGGTCTCTCGGTCCGTCTGGCGTCTCCCTTCTGCGCACTGGTGTGCCGTTTGACGACCTCTCGCTCCCACCCGCTCTCTTTTCTTCTCTTTCTCCAGACAAGCGGCAGCACGCTGCCCTCGCTCAACTACCTGTTGTAACGTTTACCCAGTGTGTTCTCTTCCGACGATGATCGTTCCACGCTAAACGCAATCAATCGCGGAGACTCGATATATACGGTATTGTATGAACTATCTCTGTCGGGGACGTATTTTCGTCAAGAAGAGAGGGGGAAAGAGAGAGAGAGAGAGAGATTTGGACGGCCACCGCGGGTGAAGGAGGTATCCGATTGTGAAACCGCGAAAGTCGCTTGTGTGTGTCGCGGTTCTGTTCCCCCTTCCACTCGGCATCGTCGCTACGAGAGTAACGCGAGGAAGCGTGAGGCGGAGCGAGACGGAGAGAGAATGAGAGAGAGAGCGAGGAGGACAACACGCGTTCGTAAGATGGAGAGAGAAGGAGCGCGCGAGAGAAAGGACTCGAGCGGGCTCTTATCGTCAAGTTAGTCGCGCGCGGCGAACCTTCCGTCCCACCGTTGTCGAATCTTCCGTTGCGCGCGTTCCCGAGAGTGACAGTCGCGAACCCCGTGACCCGTGTTGCCAGCAGAGCTCCGCTCGCGTTACTCGCGTATCGAGACTATTGGACGTTTTCACCCTGGTGAGTCTAATCTACCTACCAAGTGTTTTGCATTAATCGTGAACGCTGTAAATGTAACTATAAATGTGTGACAATGACTGTAAGCGTGCAGTAGTCGCGTACGAAATGTGCGGGGATCGGAAAAATAAAGGGAAAGCAGGCCGTGCGACGACGCGCGCATTATCGCGCGCGCGGTCACGTGGATCGGGAAACAAAAGGCGGAACGCGACCGTGTTCATTGATGACGAGTCCGTCGCGTCGATGCCGCGCGCGCCGCGCCGGTGGCATCGCATTACGTTAGCTCTGAAGTTGGCGCGCTCCGCGCCGTATATGTGCGTGCGCGCGCGCGCGAGGAATCTCGAATCGTAATAACACCGTGAATTGAAATCGTTCGTTTCGCGAAATCAGCAGCGGGATCATCCGCGGTATTTTTCCGTCGCAACAAGTGCCTACGAGAGACAAAGGAAGAGACTTGGTCTACTTGGTGAAACCAAGTTTATACAGAGTAGTTATATCGTTCTCGCAAGAAACGTGTGAAGCGGACTGTTGCTGCTGTACGATCTTGACCGCGGTCAAGCCCCGCGAGAGCGTGACACCGCTACATCGCGCGGCCAGATGTTCCCCTGCGCTCGGAAATCAGGAGGTACAATCGGAATCGTCGGCACGCCAGTGGGGTGGATGCGGAGGATGCGCGTCACGCAAACAACGGTGAGGCCGATGGTAGAGGACAACGCGCGGTCGGCATCGCGCGTTACAATCGACCACCTTGGTGGCAATCATTGAGAACTGGCTTATCCTGCGGTAGATTTAGGGGGCTGTATGGAGGCCGGGGGGCTCCTGCCCCGACAGCCCCCGCAAGGCCCCCCCGGCGTCGCCCCCGGCACTATCTCCGTGTGCGCGGGCCAGGGCCCGAACGGGCACGCCGGCAACGTCCTCGGCCAATCCGCGGCCGCGATTCACGAATTAAACGCCGGTCAGCTGGGCATTACCGGTCAACAACAATTGCACCTGCAGCAGCAGCAGCAGCAACAGCAGCAGCAGCAGCAACAACAGCAACAACAACAACAACAACAACAGCATCAACAGCAGCAAATGGGTCAAGCACCCGGTATGGGTGAGGTACTCACCCCGAAGAGGCAGGCGATTGTAGACCGTCTGCGACGAAGACTCGAGAATTATCGGCGCAGACAGAACGACTGTATCCCCAGGTTCGATCAGAGTTTCAACGGATTGTGCGAACAGAACATACAGGACACCCTGGTGCTGAAGCAACGCTTCCTCGAGAGCAAGGCCAAGCGGCAAGCCAAGAAGACGGACAAGAAGCAGAACGATCCGATCGGTCTCTCCAACGTTCACATGGTGAGACTTTTTCATCTCTTTCACTCTCTTGTTGTCTTCTTCGTCTACTCCTCTTCTTTTTCATCTTCTTCTGTTGCTTCTTCTGCTGCTTCTTCTGCTTGGTTTCGTTGTAGCAGGCGTAGGTGTTCCTACGCCGCTGTGGGAATTCGAACTTGTTACAAAGTCGGCGTTCCTCCTTCCTTCCTTCCTTCCTTCCTTTCCCTCTGAGTCTCTTCGCCCTGGAGATGGAAACGCGCGCGAGTGACGCTCCTCACGTTTCGCGACGAACGAACGTGTCTGATATATCTATATTCAATATTACCTACGGAAAAAAATCCCTTACTTAATAATTACTTCGGAAAAAATCCCGAGATACTCGCACGGAATTTTGCTACGATCCTTCAGTAGGTTCATTTTCACACAACATGTGGACGATTTTTTTCTACGAAAATTTGCTCAATACTTTCAAACGCGCAAGAATGATATTATCCTCCCGAAAGACGCGCGTCACATTGACGAACATACGTGATAACGCTTCATCACCGCATATCTGCTGCATAAAGTTCAGTATACGAAAAGTTTTGGTAGTACTTGTTTCAAACTTTGCGCAAATTTCATGTTTCTCTTGCTAAATTTTTGGAAGATACAAGTTGCGATGCAAACATATTGGAGAAGCGAATAAAGTTCGCAGAACCACGAAAACAGAATTGATTGTATTTTTGGTATGCGGTAAGTTCGGTCTCGAAAGTTTCTGAAAAAAAAAAAAAAAAACATGTTACTGCGTATTTTATGGTTGATGCAAACAAGCAATTGATTAAATAAGCATCTCTTATATAACTTATTCGATCAGTATTAAAACGAATTAAAAAGTCTATCGATGTAATAAGATATTCGCTAAATATCTGAATTTTATACGCACATTTACATTATTCAGTACTAATTTATAAAGTTGAATTATTTTAGTAAATAACGTATCAGTCGGATTAAAGATGAGCAATTGCATAATTTTTATTTTTTAATGTCAGTGATGTAGAAATTTCTTTTAAAATTTTTAATCTGACAAAAAAATAATTATTTTTTAGGCAAGAATGTACATACACACACACACACACACACACACACACACACACACACACATATATAAACACATATATATAAACATATATAAACACACACACATGTCTTCCACTCTGCTTACCTTGAATATTTTGTAAATGACATTTACATGTTGCAGATAAAAGTTGTATAGTCTGAAAGGGAATAACTAAAGATAAAAATTTTTGAAAAAATTGAATTTTTAACAAGATCCTAAAGTTTCTATTACCGACTAAACCATATAATTTTTGTATAAATTTATTTTTTATTTCTTTAGGATCCCCTTAAAATGACATATAAGAGTTATCATCATTTTTTATATATAATAGAATTATACAATTTTTTTACATAACATAATTCTTCTAGTTACGCGCACAAAAAGATTAAAATATTATATAATTATCAAAAATGTAATAAGTTATGATATATTTTTATTTTATTCTAGCATATTTTACGATGAAATATGTAAATTATTCATTTTTTGCTGTTCGAATATTTTTATGCATAAAATAATATGTCATGAATCAATTAGTATAAAATAAACATATAGAATGTCTCAATGTGTAGGCAGTTGCAAGAGTAAACTACTAGAAAGAAATTTATTGGTCGCTTAAATTTGGTATTTACACATTATCTGTGGATACTGAAAACAACAAATTTTTTTCTAGTACTTCACTCTTGTATCGTCTGCACGTTGAAAAGTTTTTCATTATGCTTGTAGTTATTTCGCAAGTAATAAATTTGAAACGTGTATAGTTCAAAAATAACAAATTCAAATAATACTTTGATACCAATTTTAAGCGAGCAATAAATTTTTATATTGGTACTTTTGCACTGGTTGCACGCTAAAAAGCTTTTCGTTGCTATTTACACTTAGTTACTTCACAAGTAATGAATTCGAAACTTGAATATTTTGAGAGCAACAAATTTAGACAACACCGTGGTATCAATTTTAAGACGTCTGTGAAGCTAATACCTGTACCAGTAATACCTGTAAAAAAAAGTATGCCAGTATGCCATAATTAAGTGCTGATTTATTGCTCTAGTCCCGAATTTATTACTCTTTTCCATTCGTAGGAAATTAATTTTAAAAGTAGGGATGATGTACACTAATAAATTCAAAATCGGAACATTCTTAAAACAATTATTTCTAGAACCAACAAAACCGAAATTAACCTAGCAATTAATTGTTTTAATATATTTTATTCCTTTATAACGTGAGTTAGCACCACTACACTTCTGATAAGATTTTTTTTTAAATTTAAACAATGAACAATAAATTTAGAATCAGGATATTCTTAGAGCAATTAATTCTAGAAACATTTTAAGACCTAAACTAGCCCAGCAATTAATTGTTTTAATGTACCTTACTCTTATACGCGAACTAGCACTGCTACATTTCTGGTGAAGTTTATTTAACTTAAATAATGAGTATAATAAACTCAGAATTAGGATATTTTTAGAGCAATTAATTTAAACTTGACATAGGTAATTTTGAGGGTACTTTTTGGATAAGGACGTCGAAATCAGATTTAATCAAAATGTCAAATAATAAAATCGGAAAGATATAATACGTCGTGATATTTAAAATGATTTTTCTGGAAAAACATGATACAAGTAACTTAATGATAGAACAGTAAAACAACTGAAGTTTCTTTTTTTTTAATTTAATCTTTTTCCTAAGGCTATACTAATTAGAAATTTAAGTTCACACAGTTACTGTTTTTATCAACTTGATTAAAGAAATAAAATTGCAAATAAGATAATAAAATAGCAATAAAAAAGTATTAAACAATTTATGTTTATGTATTATTGAGTTAGTTATAAATATCTGTATATTTGATAGACGTTAATGTTTATATATTAATAATTTATATGTAGGATTTTTCGCAAGTATTAGCAGCATATTCAAATAAAATCCTACTAAGTAGAAGTATGAATTTTTTCAAACTATTTTATTTCTCTCTCTCTCTCTCTCTCTCTCTCTCTCTCTCTCTCTCAAGTAAGCTGATTGCTATTTGATCGTGCAAGCGTATAAATTAAAAAAAGCTTGTTTATGCTTTGATAGGAATCGAACAAAAGAGACTTTAGAATTTTTTTGTTTAATCGTGTTAATTAATTGTGTTTTTACTACGTTTGTCGTCTAAATCGATGAATTTAACATGGCGTTAAAATCAAGATGGAACAGGTGGACGTATGAATCGTTAAGGTCATAGGTCGCGTCCGTGCTAGTTTCCCGTAGGCGTTCGATTCGAGACGTCCCTGCGTTAACCTTGGCTTTACGTCAATGCAGGGGCGTTCTTACGATCGCCCTTGTTACGCGTAACGTCATTATTACGAACGTCCCGCTCAAAATGTTTACATAAAATTTACTTTTTCATCTATATTCATATATTCTATACAAATATTTATCTTCTAAAACAAATGGAATTATGAAAATAACAAATAGATGGCCCAGGATGCATTGACGCACATTTTTGCGACGTAATTAGTTGAGAGTATACATTTATGTTTCAGGAAATGCAAAATATTTTATTATAATTATTTTATGAAAAAATGAAGAGATTAAATAATATATAAGAGATTAGTTAATACAGATTAAATAATATATAATTAAAAAGCGTTTCCAAAAGTATCCGTTAAAAATATTGTCAAACATAATAGTTTCAAAGCAAACATTATTAATGTGAAAAATATTGCTCAAAGTAAACACATTATATCGAAACATAAAATTATTAAGAAAACATGCGATGTATTTATGTGATTAATTGACACGGTATGAATCAACGTGTACTATAGTTAAATATTTATTAATCTTTGACAGAACACTGCAGTTTATCGAATCGATCATCGATAACTGGGATTGCTTTAAAATTTCATTTGAAATAATTTGTTGAAAGCAATTGGCTATTCGAGTATGACAAAACGCGCTCTTTCGTTTGCCGTAATTATTACGTTGTCAACAACATGTACGAGCATGTGATATTAAGTAATACGTAAATGCAAACGCGTCACCGTGGGGGCGCGCTTTATAAATGTCGCGTGCGGCGCAAAGATGAACGATAACAACTTCCCTGCAGCGGATGACGTCGGGTCATCGGTGTATTGTATGTGTAACGTGACGTATGCACATCCTACGAATCACCGTCAGCCATAAAGGTGATAGGTAACACACTCGCGTCATACGAAACTGTTACCAAGTTGGTATAATTAATTCGCACGTTCGTATAGGAAAGACTGGTTGCGATATATAAAATGACGGAGAGATCGCGGGAACGTTTATCAATGAACTGAACTTGATACCGGAAGTTAGAAGTATATAGCTCGCGAAATTTCGTATTCTTGTCGATATATCTATTGTATGTATTTGCTTTCATTAATGAAGAGAAGGAAACTAACTCTATATGATACTAGAGAGACGAACGTACGATTACTTTGGAGATGTGTAGATATAGAATACAATTTCCTTAACGTTTTTATTAATTTCACCAGTCATCGTCAAATTTTTCATACGTCTTGTGATATTTCAGCAATTTGAAAAAAAATAACATATTGTTATAAAAAAAAATCTAAGAAATAATTTCCTTATTCACGAATAGAATTTACTTGTATTATACACATATTACGAGTAGAAAATTATTTCCTTCGTTCGCTATCTGTAATCATAATGTTTACAAGTCTAATTCAGTCTATATATAAGATTAACGTATCAGGTATATAAGATTAATCAATGCAACGTCAAGGAACAAAGTCACCCGTGCCAAGCAGCTTCGTGCTCCGCTCTCGTGATATCGTCCGATTGATAACGCATTATCACCAACGTGAAACGGTGGAGTTGGACGCGTGAGGTGGGAGGGAATCGACAGGAAACACTACTCGACACGATGTAACAGGATCGCCGATAATCACGCGCAGTTTCATCCTCT